CCAACTGCAACCCACAACTATCTAAACTGCTATGAAAAACATATGTTTGACATAAAAATAACTGGCATTATGTTACCATGCAATGAAATCTCCGCATAAGTCATAGTTAATTATACATTCAGGGGAAAAAAGTGAATAATTTAACCCACATCTCAGAAAAAAACTCAAAAGAGCGAAGCAAAAAACATCCATCAACCCATTGTATCACCACAGCATATTTCTACACAATGTAAAGAGAACGAGCAACAAAAAGTCTTATTCTTTACTAATTGAAGGATACATCAAGACCCTAATTAGGAATGTTCTGAAGTAAGGTGATTACTCACCAGGTTCAGCACTTGGTTACGGCTCTGATGGCGTGCCCTAAGAGCACTCCAGGGCCCAGCAGAGCTGGCACAGTAAGATTGGGGTGCAGCTTTGGGAGCAGGGTGGTGCAGAATGAGCCAACTGCAAGGAAAATGGTCCAGCCATGGACATTTGTGCTGTGGGCAGGGAGAGCAGAACTGCCCTGTCCTTCCTTTCATCACATTTCTGCAGCATCTCACTCATCACTGAAAGTCTAAGTTGGTTTTAGTAAGTTGTCTTAGTAAGTTGTTGTTTTTTTTTCTACGAGGGCAATTCAGACATGCATTGCTACATGAATGCCATGACTATCAAGCCACTAAAATTACTTTTTGAGACACAAGGCAGTAATTTTATTCATCCATCAATTCAGACATGCATTTCTACATGAATACCATAACTATCAAACCACTGAATTTATTTTTTGATATACAAGGCAGTAATTTTGTTCATCCATCCACTCTCTGATTAGGGATTGTATATTAATGGAGTCTGCACATCTGGATTCCTTTTGGTCAATGGTGAAATGGGATCCTGCCAAGGGCTGTTTAGCCATTCCCACAAAGAATTTGGTTTTCTATTTTGTATAACTTTATTAGCAAGCTTCTCATTATTTATGTGATTATAAGTTAGAGGATTTCATGGTTCTTTTGTTTATGTATAGCACAGTGGCTAATTGCTTTTTGTGGCCCTGAGCAAAGTAATTTTATTATCTACATTCATGACAATCTGATCAACTCATGTGTAGGAAAGAAAGGCTTGACTTTCAACTCATGTGGAATGTCTGGGATATTAAATATGAATTTGACCTCAACTAAATTCCAAATTAAAGTATTGTTTCCAGATTGTGGAAACCAGAGGACACAGCCTACTTCAGAGGAAAGTGTAGCTCTTTGCTGCTCAGGAGATCCAATTTAACATTTCTGATGGTTTCCTCTGGCACAAAAATCTACTATTTGCTTAATGTGATTATAGGATTATGGCATTGTTTGTTATATCTGAGAATTTTCTTGGGTTTACAACTTTTAATCTCTGACCTAATTGAACAGAAAGCCATTTCCTCTTCACCAAATTTCCCTCACGCTGTCTGCACCACTCATTCTCATTAGTACCATGTTCTAAAACCAGTACTTGTGCTGATCTTACCTATGTAGAAGATTTTAGAAAGGTTTATTTCCTGACCTTTTGCAGCCTGCAGCAATGACAAGTACAAATCACAAACTACAGGGTTGAATTGTGCTAACAACAACAGGGATTCCCAAGAACACAAGAGAGACCCCAGGTATTAACCAGGTATTAAAATGTTGAGATAAATTAGTGATTTGAGACAATGAACAGCCAAATATTTTGGTTGACCCTTTAATGTAAAAAAAGTTGCAAAAAAAACCTTTTCCTTTCCTTGTTCATCTTTTCTAACATCAGATATCATCCCTTATTATTCTCTCATACCTTGATGAAGTCTAGCTATAATTAATGAATATCATCTGGCATGATATCTAAACAAGATAACTCCCAACTCTTTCTGCTCATTTGAAATATTTTAGTTTAAGCAATTCAGATTAAAAAGAAGTTTAAAAAAAATTATCCAATGAACAAGAAGGGTGAAAAAAGAGTCACCACTAAAGTGGATAAAAATCAGGAATGCTTTTAGAAAAAACACCCCAAAAAAATGAAAATGTGTGATGAAAAGACACAATCTAGTTCAGGGAAAAAAATGCAGAACAGTGCATGTAGGTCAGCAGCTCCCAGGGTTTATGTGCACCTCTATTCCTTTTGGTGGGTCCTTTTTACATATTGTTTCCATAATTTTGTTCATAATCACTTTGGAAAGGGAATAAATTAAAACATGGATAAGGTTTTGCAAACCAGAACTATTTTTGCAGCTCCTCCAAAGATAGAAGTCAATTCTGAGATGCCACATAGTCACAGGATCTGCTCACCCTTAATGCAGGCAGCGAGACCGCAGTGGCTGCTCCATCTTCTGAAAATGCAGCAATTGTTTTTGGTCATTCTGCAATGCCAGCCCAGACAACTTCCAACCCAGCTGGATGAGGTACCTGTACTCACACTGGCTTCAAAGATTTGATCAGAGCTCACTGGAATTTGCCAGAGAGTTCCATTTGCATCGTTGGGCTCTCAAGTATCATTGCAATTCTGGATGGATTTTAATGGGACACTACCTACTGCAGGAACCCAGATTAGGTGGAGATTAAAAACCTATGTGTTTAAAACTTGCCCTCCAAGTGGGGCCTGTTTCATCTTTACTGAGTTTGAATTATCATATAAATAGAGAAAATATGAAACAAAGTATAAAATAATGGGCAGCACAGCTGTAAAGAAAAATAGAACAGCAACAGAGCAATGGCAGCATACTAATAAAAACACATGCAGTATCTAATAAAACCACAAACGTGATACATTTGCAGTGCAGCCCCAGCCCTGGTTTGCCGCACAGAACAGCGAGCAAGCAGCAGTTCTGCTGCCTTGCAAAAATTCTCAGCATAAACACGGTTAATCAAAATACTCTGTAATAATTCTGGAGTTGAACATTCTCCCATAATGTATCAGTCATGGGTGGGAAATCAATTTATGCATCCAAATGCTGACCATCAGCATAGGTTCTCAAAGATTAATAGGGTACTCATGTTTGACAAGAATTTACTTAATCAATTTATGGATTAAAAGTAAGAATCTTGACAGTCCCATAAATCTGCATTTTAGTTTAGAAGCAAGGATCTCAAAAAAACCAGAATAGCTATTTAGGGAAAGATTTTTTTTAAATAGCAACATTTAGAGATAGGGCAAACACATTTAACATTCACTTTTCCATTTTACCAAATGGTGATGAGAATATATAACTGACTGTGCTAATGCACTTTGAGATCTCTTAACAAAAGGCACCAATAGAGTTTTTCACTTGAAATGGAGGGCTTGCTTACAGAAACACCTTTCTTCATTTGTCTGTGTTATGTGCACCTCTGAGAGCAGCATCTCAGTGCCCTCTTGGGCGTCATGGCAGTGAAAACATTGACATGAAACCCTGGGCTGATCTGGGTGCACATTTACCAGGACATTTGTGCAGTGCCTACAGAAGCCAACAGAAGCTGGCTTACAAAGTGCCTGCTCTGCTTGCAGGACAAGATCACATCCCTCCTGCAAATGAGTAAGTGGTGCCTGGATCTGCCATCCCAAGCGTGCATCACTCAGGAGAGAGAAACAGGATTATTCTGACTTCAGTCACATTTAGGGAAATCCAGACTTGAGGGCAGTTGAAATACAAGAGGGAATGCTGTGAAGGAACAATCTGAACAGTGCAGCATAGAGAGAATTTTCTAGAAGAAAAAGCTAACAAGGGGGAAAGTATTTATAAAGCATAAAATGGGTGAGTAACTTGGGACATCAGTATGGAGGAGAGAAGGGTGCTGTACTTTGGAAAAAGAAGCTTATTTTTCTGATTCTTCCCTACCAAGTCCTCTTGTGGCAGCCCAATGCGAGCGCAAATACAAAACACAAAATAGCCATAGAAATTATTACATTAAATAGGTATAGTATATGAGTGCAAACACAAAACACACAATAGCCATAAAAATTACTCAATTATTAAATTCATGTGGAGGGTGAGGGGACATGGTTACAGCTCTATGTACTTCATGATCCCTATTTCAGGCTTCACTGTGCTTTTCTTAGAAGTCCTATGCACCCCCAAATGTGGCTGTTGTTACAGGTGATGCTGACATTCAAGCTCTAAAAGATTCTCCATCTCCTCTCTGCTCACCTGAAGACTCTTAGGAATCTGCTCCTCTAAGTTCATCACTGAATTTCTTCATGAATATGATTTTCATTTAAATGATTTCACTGTTTTTCTTCTACCTATTCATGTACAGCTCTAAAATTATAATTGAAAAAAAAGTCTGAGCTCGGTACATTTTTTTCCCTGCTGTCTACTTATAGTTATTCTTTTTACTTTCCCTTTGCAGAAGGAAAGTGAATAAAGTACATGCCACTGTGCCAGGGAGACACACTGGGAATTATGACAAATCTAGGCTATCTGTAGTACAGGAGATTTTCTTGTCACTTCACTCTAACTATGTGCAACAAAGAAAATCAAGCTTTTCAGTGTTCTGCAAGAAAATTACAATGATAGCACCCTGCATTTCAGTTCAAACCACTGTTCTGCATTTTATTCCATTGACTTGCAGAAGAAAATAGAAGCCTTTGCTGAAGACTCTTTGTACCATCTTTCTGAGTTTAAGAATGATGCTCTTTTTAGAATTATAGGGAACAGCTCCAGGAGGAGAAAACTATAACTGGAAAACGTTGTGAACTGCATCCTCCAAAAAGAGTCATTTTTGAAGAACTCTGCTGGTGGATACCATAAAATAAGATGGTACATGAATAATTCCAACAGAACTATGAGAGTGAAGGCATGATTATACTGCTTTTTTTTCACCTGAGCAAATGTAATTGTCATTTAGATTCCTCGGATCAAAAAAGATGCAATTAAGCTGCCTTTCCTCTCCCCTCTGTTAACATATATATTGTGGAGAAAATGAGGCATATAGATAGTAACACCAGAGCATTAACACTTGTGGAAAATGTTATACTGACAGAACAGAAGCAAAATTACCTGCAGAGTTGAGAACAGGGATGGTCCCCATTGTCACCTGAGACACGACATGCTGTACTGGGCACATTCCAGTTCAGGATGTTTCGAAGTGTTTATTTGCCCTTTCAGTCCAGTTCTTCAATTCTCCAGGTAAAAATGGCATCTTTTCCTGAGGGAGCCAGAAGCCAAGCCGTGTGTCAGTTGCCCAGAAGGACTGACACTGTGTTAACAGTGATGGTATCTTATTATTCCCTCCCAAAGATGTGGTCTCACCATTGTATTCAGTTTTATCATACTCAGATTTCTCATTTAATCACTGAAGGATAACTGAAGTAACGTGCATTTACTGTACATTTTGCTTTCATCTTCTGCCTGGCATTTTAACACTGTTATTTTATTATTGTGGTATCTTATTTTTTGAAGTCTTCAGTTTAACTTATTTCTACCTCTTCAACATCATTTAAAACAGGGCTGCTGAAGTTTAACTGAGAAGCCCATAAGAGAAAAATAGGCCTTAATAACTCATTAAATACATTTCTACAGCTGAAAAATTCTCAAGGAAAGCAGAAGCTTCAAATCCAGTTACTTAACATATTGAAAGTCAGCCATAATGGAAGATTTAAAAAGAAGGGTTAATCAAATAAAATTGAGGTGTTTTTTAATTAGCTTGAGCTTAATTGTTGCATTTGCTGCAAGTGATGAGAAACATGACCAGATCCAACCAGCTGCAACCCAGAGCACCCAGTTCCTACCTCATGCTCTGCTTATGACCTTGAGGACATCACCCAATTTTTCCATTCCCCTCTTTCCACTTTCTCTCTTGTTGTGATGGATTTGCAGCTGCCTTGAAATAATCTATTAATGCTTCACGTCGACCTGCTACAGGGAAGATGAATGCTCTGAATAAATTCAGTGAGCTCCTGTCTGGAGGAGCAGACAGGAAGAAAATGCCTGTTCCAAGACAGGCATCTCCATTCTTAAGGAACACACTGAGGACTCTCATTTAGAGTCATCCTTTTGTAAAAAGAGCCTCAAGAAAGAAAGAAGCTTCCCAAAGGCCTGAAGCACAGCTTCAAAGTTGGCCACTCTCCAGCCAAGAGAAGCAGCAGCTCTTTCTGGGAATAGGATTCCCATATAGAACCCTAATGAGACCATTAAAAAGCCCCACCTGCCAAAGCCATCATCTGTGCACGGCGAGATTTATGGCTTGCTAGGCCTGCTAGCAAAAAGAGCTTTTTCTAAGTCTCTTTTCCTCACTGAACACTTTGTTTCCAGTGTTAAAAGAAATATTACTTTGATGAAGAAAGGCCCTTGCCACACATTCCACCAACACCAGCATTTAAAGTGCTCCAGCAGTCTAGTCAAGAGAAAATAAAGAGATGTACTTTTATGGACAAAGAAGTCTACAGATTTAAAATGTGGCTATTGAATTGTTTTGGTAGATTGCCTGAACACATCAGAGCTTTGCAGTAAACAAATCTAAAATAACCAATATATTCTATATTTTTTTTAATTAAGAGGAGGGTGGGGGTGCAGAACAAATTCAGGGACTATCAACCAGCTACTAAAACTTCAGTTGCTGTAAAAATACTGCAGTTTATCAAGCAAACTACCACAAGCAACTGAAAGAAAAGGAAGTAAAGGGAAGCACCTCTGCACACGTGTGAAAGCCCACTCAGAAAATGGATACCCTGGTAATGGGAAAAAAAAACATTTAGAAGTCATCATGTACAGGAAGAAGTAAAAAAAAACCCCTTTCTACCATGTTATCTATCTCAGCTTTAAAACATGACAATGAAATTCTTGGAGCAAGTAAATCTTTTCCTCCACTACTTTTTGAAAGCTGCCTTTTGCAAAGAAGACCCCACCTCATTCTAAGGCAATTCTGTAATCTGCAATTACATAAAGCACAGACTATGCCAACATGCTTGCTTGCTAAATTCATTGTAGTTATATATCTCAAAATTAAAATTAGCTGTGCAATTTAAAGCATTATTTTATTTCTGTACAGAATTTCATTCATGTTTTCTTTTACTTAAATGCCCTGATGTTAACTTGTTATGTTCTCCTTTTCCTCAAGCTACAATATATCTAAACTTTTTTTTTTTTTCTTTTTTTAAGGGAAAGCTTAAGGATTAAGGCAAAGATTTTTAAACTGCTGCTATGAAAGAAAAAACCAGACCTTTAAAATCTTCTTTGCAAAGAAAGGAAATCAGGAACTGAGAGTACTGTGGTAATGATTACCTGACTGAACCACGGTACAGGATTGCACGAAGTGATGCAGGGCAGCATTTAGACAAAGCAGACTAATCCTACAGCCCCAAAGGTGGGGTTTTTTAAAATGTTTATTTTTAGGGATCTAGCTTCCAGATATCAGAGACTTTGCCAAAACTCAAGTCCTGCAGAGAGAGGAAGAGAGGCTTAGCAGTACCACTACTGCCCACCAATATTCCCTGGTGTGGTGCTCACATCACAGCTCAGGAGAAAGGCTTTAGAGCCACTCATTATCGTTTTGCTACTCATTATCATTCTGTCATTATCATTATCACATTCACTGACCTGTACCTTCATTTTCTGAGCCTTTCCGTTTCCAACATAAGAGCCAATTGTTGTGGAAGTGTTAAGGATGACCATAAAAATGATTTTATTACAGCTGTGCCTCTTATACACATTAGCTACCTACCTCATCTTCATAAAAAGAAATTAAAAACCAACAGTAAAAAAATTTTAAAAATTACAACTACTCTATTAAAACGACAAGTCTGAAAGTAAACTTAGAATTGAAAATAATTCACAGAAAACAAAACAGAAGAAAGAACAAGAATGAGAACTTGTAATGCTATTTCAGGATATATAGGCCATAATTAACTAGCTCCACTGTAATATGAAACCAGTATGAGGTGGTTATTTGGAAAATTGTGTTACTTTGGGACATAGCTGCCAATATTCAAGGGGTTTTTTCAGTTTGTATCAACTCCAAATAAAACCCAGAAGACATAAGTCTTTATTGTACTTAAACACAAACAAATGAATTATAAGTGCACAAAGTACCAGTAAGTACATTAAAAAAGTCATTCATAATTCTGACCTAAAGTGAAGTCTACCCTCTGCCCACACACTAAAGCTTCAGAGATGTTAAATTTTATTGCTCCAAAGAGAAACTAAACCCGCATTTCACATGCTCAGAGTGCAACATTTTTATTCAGTTACCAGCTGAAGAATCCGCTACGCTAAAATGAAATTAAAGGAGCAGTTTCATTAACTACCACGGGGTGTTTGTAGTGTGGATGCAGGGTAGAACAGAGCCTTCCCCTCCCGTTGGCAGATAAAACAGGATCAAGCATTTGAAAGAAACTCAACTAGCTACACTGCTGTAATATCTGCATTTGTCGACACCCAGCATCACTCACCATCTCTGTTGGCCTCAATGTCATTTCTGTACAAATTATGTCGATTTGCACCTTAACTACTTTCTGTAGCTTTGTGTCCACAGCAGAGCAAGTCTAGCTTATCTGCTCCAGCTTCTGTTCCTTTCCTCATTTCATCTCTGAACACTTCTTCCCATCTCCTGTGTTCATCTTTCTCCATTACAAAAGCTTCCTCCTTCCTTTTTTAACTTTTCTTGGACTTGAAACAATCTGCTTCTATTCTCTCTACCTTACAAAACCTCACGTAACTTTTGCAGATTGACATACTTTATCTGGTTTCTATCTAAATTTTTAAGATCTTTATAGCAGAGCAAGTATAGTTTTCATGGTATGTTCAAGTCCTCTGTGAATGTATAAGTGTTACTCCTAATGTATTATTGCAGCTGCAGTTCATGTAGAATCCACTCTTCCTCCAGGTCATGTTTCAAATCTTTTATTGTTCCATTTATTTTCAAGATTTTCCTCTCACTGGATATTAATGTGAAGATTTGATTATAAAAATAGAGAACATGAAAGTTTGCTACTGTAATTCTTCTGTGCCAAGCAGCTGCTGCAGTCCTTGGCTCTAAACACTCAATCCTTCAGACACTCAGGTTTTGAAATCCCTGATGTACCAGCTATGACAAAACTATCTTAAGAGCACTATTTATGTCTGCCCTGCTCTTCATACAAACCTTGTGATCAACTTCCTGCACAAACCAAAAAAAACCCGACCACACTCTAACCTGTTCCAGAAAATCCTGTCCTTATTCCAGCATATTATGTTCTTGCAAGTCCTCCAATATTTTTGCAAGATCAAAACAGACATCTTTTCCATGCCACTTTGTTCTATATGCTTCACAACTTCTGCAGCCCCAAATGCCAAGAAATCTTTTTCCATCCATTCTAAGACCCTTCTTCTGTAAATTCTGGTGGATATAACTCTTGCCATAAATATTTTCATTCTGCTTATACGGTGATTTATACAAGAATCTACCCTACACTAGCAACACAACCAAATTTGCAGTGATTTGACTGGATATTCATGGCACAAGCACAATAACTCAATCTAGAGGAGGAGCCCATGCATTCCATGTGTGCACCCACCCACCCCTACACCCTCACTTGGCAGGCTGGAAAATCCTCTGAAAAATCAATATTTTGGCTGTCAAATGTTTCTTCATCATAAGTAGTACACACAGAGCCCCTGTCAAAACCCTTCAATATTATTCACTATTACCAAAGCTTTTTCATGTAGGATCAAGTAAATTTCAGTCATTCAAGAACTGCAATGACAATCTGCAGAAGGAGGATTGAATTACACAGTCTGAAATTGCAGATTAACAACTTAGAAGATAATGATGATGATAAAAATATAAGGAAAGCTGAGACTAATAAATAAATAAAGCTTGAGATGTTGGATGATAAAGTACTTCAAGTTGACAAAGATGATCAGAGTTAACAAGGTTGTATTTTAACTTTGTACCTGGGGAAACTTTAAAATAAATCATTCGGTAAACACAGGGATGAAGAATTAAGTAAATTAATTCTTAGGAGCTAGGAATCTTGCCAGAAATGCCCTGTGTTTATGCATGAGCTCAACAACTTACCTGAAAACACAACTGGAATGTGTTCTAAGTACAGAGCCTTAAGCCAGCTTGCATTTATTCCTCCCAAAACAGGACAGCAGAATACACGGAGAAACAGCAGAAACACTGAGAAAGTGTTTCAACAGGCACAGTTATTATTATTACCTCTGCCAACACCATCACTAAAAAACTACTGTCTTCCAAAGAAAAATAAAGGGCAAGTTGAATCAAGAAATACAGGTCTTGAGCCAAATCTTACAGAAGTGAAGTCCCCAGTCTCACTGACACCAACAACTTCAGTTTTGCTCCATTAACTTCAGTAAAAAGTAACACAACTTATTCATTTGTATCAATACAGCTATGAAGCTATGTACTTGTTTATTACCATTTAATACATGCTTTGAGATTGATGTAAATTTTTAATGGATTTTATTGCAAAAATGAGAAAAATTAAAATTTATTACAGCACAGAAAAGCATGATTAACTAAGAAAGAGTAAAAACTTGGATTTTACACATCTATTATTCCATGTCATAATACACTTCAAGTATTGTAATTTCTATACTAATACAAGAGATTTAATAACTGTGAGCAGTTTTACAGTGGTAAAAAGTTACTCTGAACCAGCCAAAGGGCCAGAGAAAGGCATATATAGACATATGCAGATGGCATATATTAGCTCAATGACTTCTGAATAATTCAAAGAGTATCTTCTAAGACTGAAAGTTCAATATAGTGGTTTGCTTTAAAAATGATGCCAATAAGATGGAGCTTAAAACACACCTACAAAGCACTGCACTGTGAGCCTCGGAGCAGTAATATTGTCATTGGGATCATCTAGGGATAGAATACATTTCCAGCCAGGTGGAAAAGGTCACTATCC